AACATCTACTAGATACCTGCGGACACTACCAAAACATCAGAACAAACCTATTCGGTCTTACCCCGCCATCAAATCTATTAACTGACCTAACAGCCGCCAACTCCAAACTATTACTATCTTTCCTACGGTTATGTAAAATTATACACCTAATTTAAACATTCGTATCAATCATCAAATATCCCCTCTCATTAAATGTTAAATCACAAATATAAATGTAACAAAATTGTTATCAATTGTCGAGTCGATGGCCATAGCAGCTAGTTACTCCTTTCCTTAAATTAGTTAATATATTATAAATGCGATTTATGTATAATAGCTAATACTAAATAAATAAATAAATAAATAAAATATTTTTTAAATCAATAGCGTCCTTTTTAAGAGAGAAAAAAAAAACAAGGAAGAACGCTATAGTCGAGTACCTCGACTATCAGATACCCGTTACTCAGCTAAATGGAGATATGCAAGCAGCAAAGCGAGAGTAAAATGCGCCACCTACCGGCGGTATACAGATTTAAGCGTTATGGGCGTTAGAGTGGGCGTGGCAAATTTGGACCAATCGATAGGTATCGACGAGACCAATACATTTCAGTTAAAATTTTTTATCTAGCATGAAAATTGTGAGCGTCACAGGTTTTCGCGGTTTGTGGGCGTTAAAGTGGGCGTGGCAAACTTTTTTTTGGGTCAATCTATAGGTATTGATGAGAACAATACATTTCAGTTAAAATTTTTATTCTAGCATCAAAACTGTAGGAGCCACAGTCTTGGGCGGTTTGTGGGCGTTAGAGTGGGCGTGGCACTGTGCTGAAACAAACTTGCGCTGCGTAAGAAGCTCAGAAATCTGCACGCCAAATCTCAATAGCCTAGCTCCCATAGTTTCCGAGATCTCAGCGTTCATCCGGACAGACGGACAGACGGACGGACGGACATGGCTAGATCGACTCGGCTAGTGATCCTGATCAAGAATATATATACTTTGTGGGGTCGGAAACGCTTCCTTCTGCCTGTTACATACTTTCCGACGAATCTAGTATACCCTTTTACTCTACGAGTAACGGGTATAAAAAGTGTTTTAATCTAGAAATTTTGTTCTACACCCATAAAAAAAATAGGACTGTGTTTTAGCTAGAAAATATATTTCTACAAAACAACAAAATGTTTAAAAATTTAGTAATAATAAGAAAACACAAATCTAACTGGGAATCTGAGTTTTTCTGGTGTTTTATGGACAATGCGACACCTGCCGGTGATGTAATGTAGATGGTTCTTGTGGGATCTCTCATTTGTCAGCATCTTTTTCTCTCCGTTACTTAAACACGTGAATTATGATGTAAACTGGAACTGGAATAATAGCTTAAATTATTCTATAAATTACAAATCTATTACAATCTTATAAATGAAGCGCCTAGAAAAACGGGAAGTAGCTTCTGCAGCCAAAACGGCCCTAACACTTTTCCGCTATCGATGCCATCGACTATTAAATACCCGTTACTCAGCTAAGGGGAGTGCGAGAGAGATGGAGATATGAAAGCAGCCAGGCGACTGTTCGTTGGATTTGGCACGTCTTCGAAGACCCACACTGTCGATTGCTGTTTTGCTTCGGGATTATAAGCATAGTTCCACGATTCGTCACCCGCGACGATCTTAGATCTTTTGAAACACTGCGATTGTATTTTTCAAAATTTCTTTGCTCTAATCCACACGATCCTTCTTTTGAGCAATTGTCAAATTGTGCGCGATCCAACGAAATCAAACCTCTTTTACTGCCAGGTGTTTATGCACTATCGAATGTATGCTGGTGGAAGAAACGCCCAAGGATGCCTCCATCTCACAGTGTGTCACATGACGATCTTGCATTATCAGTTTACGCACTGCATCAATGTTCTCCTGGCACAACGACTGTTTTTGGACGACCTTCGTCTTCCAGCGAGCGTCGGCCACGATTCAATTCATTAAACCAGTTTGCTATAGGATGGTGCTCTATCGCCATACAAAGATTAAAGTTCATCGATGCACAAAATGATAATGCGGTGGTAAGTTTTTGATTAATCGTTAATCGATATCAAACGTGGTCACACATGAAAAAGTTGCATGGAGCCTTTATCGATAAGAGTCAAAACTTTTTTGGGAAAGGCCGATTGCTCCTAATACATACGTTTAGAAGTGACCTAGGCCTGAAACTTGAATAGCAGCCCTCGTACAGGGAACCCAAATTAGTATAGAAATTGCGGTTTTAAAACTGAACTCGAAAAAAAATGAATTTTAGTAAACTAGTGTTATCTGAAAAATGTACTTATTTTAAATTTAACTTTAAAATTTTTTTATATTCAGGTTTACTGCTTCTTGTACTTATTTCTACCAGCATTGTAAAAATTTTTGTGCTTGATGAAATTAAATAACAAGTAAAAAGAATGTAACAACTTAAAGATACAGAAGGAAATACCAACTTTTCTCCTTTTCCATGCTGCTCAACGTTTGTGTCTAATTCTTGTGGTTTTATATTATTATAATTTACGACTTTTTGACAAATTATCGGCACAGCTCCTCCGGATAAAGGACATAAATAAAAATTGTGTTAGAACGGCAATAAGCGTAAATTTAAATAAATTAATCATTTCCAGGCATTGTTAGGCAGGCACAAAGAGGTAAGAATCAGAGAGGCGGGCTTGGGGTATTATTTGTGGATTCGGCACGCAACAGGCTGAGAAGTGGAATCGATTGCTCTGAAGTTGGCCGGGCACTTACCATTCCCCAGCCCCTAAATTCAAATATTTGCGTACGAAATGCCGAGACGGGGGAGACGGGTGAGGAAAAGCTATGCTGAGCCGTGTAGCAACAGCTGATGTTGGCCATGTCGGGGGCACTTAATGGCCATCGAATCGGGGAGTAGGGCGTGCCTCGCTCGCCCTTCCAATTACTAGTCGGAAAGCGAAATTTCATCAATTCATAATTCATTTCACTGTGCAATTAAATTGCCTTGTGGCCACACCTAACAGCACCATCTCTGGGGAATCCTTGGAACATTTTTGGGCCTTCGGAAGTGAATAGCATCAGCCACCCGGCACAGTGCTACAAATTATTATGTCCTTATCGATTTCCGTTCCATTTGACATTAAAAAAAATTGTCTAAAGCTTCTTTCTCGTCGTCCTTACTAATTTTATCCCATTTTATTACGCTCCGTTCTATATGGGTTGTGGTTGTGTGTTCTGTAATCTCAAACTAATCTTTGACCACATCCACCGATGCCAAAACAGACTTGGGGCCAAAAATAAATATCAAAAAATTGTCGGTTTGCTTTGGTTTGGTTTTTCATTTTCCATTTGTCGGCAGGGAAAGGCAAGCCTTTTTTGTTTTCCATTTTTCTTCGTGGGTTTTTTGGGGCTTTCGGTGCTCTTGGCAAGTGCAACCAAATTGAAAGCAAAGCCAAGTCATCAAGCCGGGTGCCAGGGCAAGTGTAATTGTTGCCTCATGGAATGGGAAAGGGAAGCGACCAAGACCAAGGCAGGAGTAAGGTAATACTCTGGCCCGGTGGCGTAGCTATAACGTGGTGGATGTTTTCCATGCACTCAGAAAAAAATTCCTTAGTGTGACGGGACATGTACTATATTGCCTTTGAGTTTTAATTGTGGATTTAAGGAATCAATTATCTAAAACAAGAGAAAACGCTACAGTCGTTGGGTATTGATAATAAGAGGAAAATAAACATGAAGACATATAAACATGGCTAAATCGACTGGGCTAGTGATTCTAATTAAGAATATATATACTTTATGGGATCGGAAACGTTTGCTTCTACTTGTTACATATTTTCCGACGAATCTAGTATACCCTTTCACTCTACAAGTAACGGGTATAAATAGTCCAATTACTTGAAAAATGGCACATCCAGATACAAATATTCCTAGCAATAGACCTAAATTTTAATAAAGATGTAACCTTAAAAATTAAGATAAAAACACCCTTCCTTAAAAGGACATTAAGGATATTGAGAAATAAGAGCATGGCAGCCAGTCCTCTGAGCCTCCTTACAGAGCAGTACTAGGTTTGGAAGGTTACACACATAGAGGTCCAATTAAGAATTTAAAGATCGCAGAGCTTCGTATACACATTGCTAAACATATTTAAGGCATTAACAATGAGGGAAAATGAGGATCTATTCAACTTGTTGGATGCATCCTTTGATCTTTTATATTGTCTCTCTGCGGCATGTAAAATCAAGAAAAGAATTAAAATTTGCTTATTATAGTGCCGAAACGATTTGAAAACCGAGTTAATTACAAATAGTTTAAAATGTAAAAAAGATTATGTTTGTAATCAATTTTTTTTAAATGAAAAGAACAAATTTTGTTTGTTTGAATATATTTAATTCGGTATAATGACAAATGTTGAATTTTATGATTTCTATGTAGGCTTCATTTAACCGTTCCCGCTGTTTTAAAGTTTCATTTCAAAGTTAATTAGTTATCTCTATTGGTTCAAAAGATATGATTTATTGCGCAGAAAGCCCGAGAATCTTCTTTAATTTAATCTAAACTCTTTAGCTCTTATAGTTACCGACATCACATTCGGACAGAGACCCAAACGGACATTGCCGGATCGACTCGGCTTGTTATTCTTATCACAACCTTATGGTAGGGCTAGGAAATTGTTTTCACGGTACTCAATTGATTTAAAATCGCTTTCAAAATGTCTTATTTAAAGACCCTGTAACATATGATTCCGATACGTCGTACTCGCAATTTATTTCGAAAAAAACATCTTCAGAAATATTATTTTAACATAAGGTAAACCATGTTACAATATTATTTATTATGCATATACAGAGGGTTATCCATTTATTTTGGTAAAATGTTTCTTTTCTTTTAAGGTATTCATCTAAACTTACCAAAGAACCGACATCTATTTTTTTTAATTTTGGCTTTTGTTTTCAGGAATCCTTCCACCTTAATTTTGTTTCGTGTCGGAAACTCAAACTAAAAACTGTGTCATATATTATGTCAGAAGCATCAGATAAGCCCGCCAGACTTCTTTAAAACACCGCATTTCGCCCCATATCATCTCCGAAAAAAGCAAGCGAATGTAAATCGGTTACAAAATTGGTTTCCTTCCGAAATGCGATTACAACTTTATGAGCCACCTAACATAAAAAACTAGGAGAAAAAGAACTTACAAGAAGCAGAGAATAGGGAAAACAGAAAAAGTTCACAGACCAACCTGAAAACTCTCCAACGGATTAAATACAGACATCCGAAAATTACACACGATTGAGCCCAGTAAAACGCTACTAAAAAAGTAAGCTCTTTTTAATAAAATAGTAGTGGAGGAGTGTAAAGGCTCGGACGAACAGATTATGAAATGTACTGGGTACTTTTCTGTATCTAATGAAAAAATTATAGATTTTAAATTTAAAGTAACACGAGGTAAAATTATACTTACTTAAATCTTCTGTAAGTAGTGCAGTCGATGCGGGAAAATTGTAACTCTGAAGCTTTCCGGCACACTTATTTCCTAGTGCTCGTCTGGAAACGTCAAGGATGCGGCCTGGGAAGTTCAAGTTGAAGTGGCCTGCCCACTGAAGGGTGCCTCACTTAATGCCAGGAATAATTTCTAATTAGAAGAGGACACACACATGGAAAAATATTTAACGAAATTATAAATGTACACAGTACGAGGGCTTTCATTACTCACTTTAGCTCCGAAATGTAGGCAACATTTCCCCACTTACTGCACTTTTCCCATCTCGCCAGCACTCTAGCTCAAGTCCTTAACGCAGCGCACAAACAATTAAAAACCGTAAATGTCCCCACATGACAAAGTGTGAACTTAATTTCATTTTTGTAATTCACAAATGCTGGAAGGAAGGGACTTTGATAATGGCCTAGGAAAAGCGTCGAGAGAAGAACTAAATATAAATAAAAATGCTTTACCCGAAAGCCACAAAAACGGAGCGGCGGAGTGGGAGGATGGTGTAAGGATCGGCAGGACCTAAACCAGTTGCCAGGCTACTCCTTCGACAATAACAAGCCAAACCAAGCACACACAAATGAAAGTAATTTTACAAATACTTATGTGTGCAGCAGTGGCATTGTGTGACTCTGTGTGTGCAGTCATTTTTCAAAGCTTAATTTCCACAAACAAGAAAAAACGACTAGAAAATACTTAAAAAAAGAAATGCAGACAATAAAAACCAACTGAAGGCAATGGCAGTGCAAAACAAAACTTCAGTGTAATGAAGCCGAAAACAAAAGCAAAACACGTTAAAGTTACCTCACAAAGGGAAAGGAGAAAGCAGAAGTGGGAAACATGGCTGCATTGGGTAGTTTTCCTTCGGCGAAACAGACGGAATAGCCTCGTCGAATGCAATGAATATTTACAGAATGTGCAAACAGTGATTGAGGGACTCGAAATTAAATGCACGTAATGGGTAAAGTGCGCCAAAAATTGTGAATTCATAATTTGAAATGGAATGCAACTTTTTTGAGCATCTAACAGGGCACAAAATATTAAATAATAAGATGAGAATAGATTAATTTGACTGTGTGAATATCGGTTCTTGATTTGGTTATTTGTAAAGTGGACATATAAAATATTAAAATAAACTTCTTCAGCAATTTAAGTTCAAGTTATGCCCTTATAGAATACTGGCAGGGTAGTCCGCAAACTGAGCAAATATAGTCTTATTAAAATCAATTTATTGCATTTCATGCTAAGAAGATAGGGAGTAATTGCTCGTACAAAAAAATCAAATATGTATTTTTGGTCGTATGAGGAGTTTTGCGTGTTTACTTCTTTTTGTATCATAATGCAATTACCACTTGGTGTATGGATATACGAACTTTAAATTATTTCTTGTAAAGATATTACAAAGAAAAAAAGTAAATATTTGAATTTTGAAGCCAAATAAACTGCTGAAGCTTAAGGATTAATTTTACGGAAGGTCGTTTTCTTAATCTGCGTAAAATATTCATTTTGTGCCGTCTGAAGACCCTGGAGGGTGTTTCTTTTAATTTAAAACGTCGATTTAGACGTATTTATTAATAGCCAAGGAAGGAGTCAGACTATATCTAAGCAAATCACTTCACAATTTACAGTTTCGAATAATACAAGTCAATGGTGTAATTAAATGGATGCGGCTGTGCGATGGTTCCTTGTTTTTAGGGTTATCTTTATGTATAAAGATATAAGTTAGAGGAAGGATAAATACCATTTCTAACGTGTAAAACAAAGTGACTTAAAAGTAAAATGAAAATAAAAGACAATTTAAGGAAAATGTCAACTAGTAGTCATAAGCCCTTGCGAGCAGAGGACTGTCTGCATCCTTGTGCTGAGTCTCTTTCAAATAATTTCCGAATCGCTATAAGCTTTCCTCAAATGCATAAGCTGAGCCAAGCCAATCCAAACCAAACCAAATACTTGGCGAAAGGAACTCAGGGCCCGAGCCCTCGCCTGGAGCATGCCACACACTTAAGCTTATCCGGGATTTGGCTTCCTAATTCATTCATTTACCGCATATCCCTTCAACTCAGACTGAACTCCGCTCGATCCTGCCAAACAAAGGGTCTGCAGCTGCATTAAGAGTTTGCTACAAATTGCCGAAGCACTCGACTTCCGCTCAACTAAACGCATCGCAGTCAAAGTCGCATTCATAACCCCCCGGCCCGATCCCAATCCTCCACTTCAGCGCACTTCCCTGCTGTTTGTTTAGACGCGGGACTGCGAGTCCTGGGATCCGGCATTACGCATACGACGCGTTGCCGCGCGCAAATGAAGTTAGCGCAGCACTTAGGCGGACGTCTAGTGCACGGCAAGAAAATGGCTTCTATATGGGTCATCTTCGGTTTGTGATCAGAAATGGTTCATCAACTAAATTATTTCATTAAAATAATCTGTATTTATATATATGTCACGTTTTAATTTACACACCAAAATCTAAAAGATGTATTTGATTTGACTATTTTCTGCCAAATTCAAATGCATTCTAATGTTTAAAATTATTATTATTATTTTTTCCGACGAGCTCGCTCTTCCAGGAAGTTCTTGAAACATTCGTTGAGAACCTTGAAGATGTGCTTTTCGATTCTGCTTTTCCTTCAGATTTTTTTCCAAGTTACTAGTGTGTACATCCCCTGCAAAAGTTTCATTTAAATGCCGGTCTGATGACGGGAAGGACCTTTCGCACCACAGGACGTATGAGCAATATTCAAAGTTGGGCCAAAGTTTCAGTTAATGGCGAGCGGAAACTTACAGCTATCTTGGGCAATAAAAGTGAACTGTAGCTGAACATGCCACACTCCGTATTCTGGCAACTTTCTTATCAACGACAGAGAAAACTAGTGCAGTGTCAGCCAAAATAATTAGAGACACCGAAAATTTGGTCAGCTCGCCATGATGACTAGATTTCGGGTGACCAAAGGTGAGGACTTTGGGGTCGGAAACTATAAAAGGCGACAAGCAAAAACCATGAAAAAGTGTAAGGAGCAAAACATAAATGAAATTCGAATATCATCAAGTGGCAAACACACACTCGCCTACAAAGTAAAGTTTGTCCTCGGTGTGTGGTCGGAAAATGGTGAAAGGGTCGAAAAGTTGCCAAGCATTAGGCAAAAAGTCTTTGAAACGACCAGCCGAGTAATTTCATTGTTGTTCGAAATTTCTTAGCCACTTTTGTCCTGCACTTATTTATTATTTGGCTAATTCGCGCATTGCCAAAGTGGATTCTTGTTTTTTTTTTGCTTTTGCTTATCTTAAGGAGAAAAGTAATGAAAGTGCAAGGGAAAACTTTTTCGGTGGCCAAACGGCGTTCGGTTGCTTGTCCAATTCTATTTCGCATTTGAACAGAACTTTCAACAAAGCCCACGGAACCGATAAAGAGCGGCGCGGGGGGATTCTGGAAACTTGACGCAAACTCTAAAGAAACAGCTCTACTTGCAACTTGCAACTAATTTGTCTTCCCCCGGCTGGAAAATTCCATCTGAAATCCCCTCCAGAGCTGAAGGTTGGCTTTTGTTTACAGCTGATTGTATTTGGCCTTTGTTTTCGGTCATTGCAAAAGTTGTCACATCGTCGGGCGGCGGTATAATGAATTGAAAGTTAAGCCAACACCAAAATCTGGAACCCTGTCCGCCACATCTAATGTAGCTGAAAATTTCTATTACCCCAAACTTATAAACTTTGTTAACGAGTATCGATGTGGTTTTCTTTTAATTTTGAAAATTTAATTTAACATCAAATTGACAAAATCTGAAGAATTTAAGAATTTTTGGTTTTTATACCCGTTACTCTTACCCTACGAGGGTATACTAGATTCGTCGGAAAGTATGTAAAGGGTAGAGGGAAGCATTTCCGACCCTATAAAGTATATAAATTCTTGATCAGGATCACTAGCCGAGTCGATCTAGCAATGTCCGACTGTCCGTCTGTCCGTATGAACGCTGAGATCTCAGAAACTATAAGAGCTAGGCTATTGGGATTTGGCTTCCTGCGCAGCGTAAGTTTTTTTCAGCAGGATGCCACGCCCACTTCAACGCCCACAAACCGCTCGAGTCGATCTAGCCATATCCGTCTGTCTGTCCGTCCGTACAGCAGTGCATTCACATAAGGGAAAAAGAAAGAGACGGAAGATCGTTTACCCAGTGCACTGGTACACTGCAGTGTTGAAAAGCACTAGAAGGCAGTAAAAGGACCGAAAATAAACGCACGTACAGCGCTATAGGTCCTTCTGTTTTCTAACTCTCGTATGGCGAAACACGTGTGCCTATTGCCATTTTTTGCGAATCTTTGAAGCGTATTCCAATTTTAAAGTGGTCATCTTAACATTTTAATTTTACTTTTATCAATTTAAAAGCTCAATAACGGGTATCTGATTGATTTTTGAAGATAGAAAGTAAGAAACTTTAACAAAGAAATCGAAAAGAGTTTTTATGCTCTTAAAATGTTATACGCGTTACTTTGTAACAGGTAGAAGAAAGTTTGTCCGACCCCATTAAAAATATACATTCTTGAACACGATCATTAGTCGAGTCGATATAGCCATATCCGTCTGCCCGTCTGGACGCTGTCAGGAAGTATAAAAACTAGAATTTCAGGATAAGGCATGCAGATTCTATACGTAGATTCTTGCGCAGCGCAGATTATTTCAGCAAAGTGTCACGGCCACTGTAACGCATAACGCAAAAATTTTTTTGAAGTAAACATTCTTAAAGATTTTGTTAAGGTGTAAATTGGGTATTGAAATTGTTCAATAAATTGTTCATTAAAAAGTTATGATCAAATATTGTTATCGCCGTTATTGATGCTTGTATCCATCTCCTTTGGGCTCCCTTTAGCTGAGTAACGGTTATCTGGCACTCGACTGTTCTGTTCTTTCTTGTTTTTTGTAAAATGTCATAGCAGACTTACCTTAGGAAAACTGCCCTGCAGCGATTCTGAATCAGCGATGGTGGATAATTAGGAGGACCGTATGGTAGAATTTTCAAATTTATTGGCCTGCAATCCCTAAATCTATTTAAGCTTATATCTGTCCAACGAAGTGGTTAACTGATAATTTATGATAGTAATATATCCGCCAAAAAATTTGAATATTTAGTATGCTTTAAATGTGCAGAAAACAGACTGTTTCCGTAAACCTTCTGTTAGAGTATTTAAGTACTTTTGAATCTGTTGGAGTATTTAAAGTACTTTATTTTTCCATCCGACTTAACATAAGTGAACAGAGAGAAAAACCCAACTACATTGTCCGTGAATTGAGAACATTCGTTTTTACAAACCGAGTAAGTACAAATGTTCTTATTTTAAGCTGTGTGTTCTTAGTTCATGAACGAACTGGTAGGAACTAAAAAAGTTGATCTTAATTTAAGAACATATTTGGATTAAGTGGTACAAAAATAAGTTCCTTTGTTCTGTTTTCCAAAACATTTTGATCTTAATATCTAAAAAAACATATTAAACTTCTTTGAAAAGGAAATAATTAGTTCAAATTGAATA